ACCAGAGTCCCCCCCCAAAAAAAGAAAAACACTGTTTGAAGTTTCGGACAACAAAAGATGTTTGGACCTAGAATATGACGACCAGTTAAAATGCAGGTTTTCGGATCCGGCAGAGTCAGGGGAGATACCCGACGGGAGAGATGAGTGTTTGTTTCAAAACCTAGCTTGCTCTGTTGATTCGCTATAGCAGCTTTAAATCTCTCAAACAAATGTAGGCCGCATCAATGTTCACGCTGGTTTTAGCTGTTTGCTTCACGTCCAGAGACATTACCAGAGGTGGGACCAAGTCATTGCTTTACAAATCTCAAAAAAGTCCCAAGTCATTTTAAGTCTTTTCAAGTCCTAGTTTAAACGCTACACGTTCATCAGCTGTTCTTTCAGCCTTTTGTCTGTTTGTCTGGTGGCACATCTATGAGTAATGTCTCGTGACAGAAAAAAAAAAATTAGCTCACGGTTTACAATCTACTCAGTTATAGCCGTACTTGAAAACATGGCATCTAATATGGCGTCACCCAGAGACACACTCGCTCTCGTGCATTTTTAGACCTGATTTTTATGGTCGTATGTTACAAAGCCACCAATATTTTTGTGTCTGCAAATGAAAAAGTTTGTTGCTGTTGATTTAGATGAAAAACTTGACCTTCGTTACGCTACATTTTTCAACAACTGGGCATCATTGAATTCATTTTCAACATTTTGATTGATATTTACACAGATTAACAGTAAAAACTACACATTGTCAGTTTAATAGCGAAATCAAGCACACATAAAAAACATATTGCTACATTTGCTACAGCAATCATGTCATTTTAAGACCTCGTGCTTATAAAAGTCACCTAAAATGTTCATAAAACCCCCTGAAAGCCCAAAGTTATCCTATATAAAACTGAATACGGTTCATAAGTGCAATCGCAGAGCAGCTCTCGTAACCGTGTGTTGAACTAAAGGCCAGACTCTGACAGCAGAACGCGACTTCATGATCCACTGTGGTCACACTCGTCACTTACTGCAATTTTAAACATGGCAGCAGATGAATGTGACCTCGCTGTGCTCCGCCTGAATGAGCCGAACACCTGCTTTCTGAGTAGGATAGAGGAATAAGAAAATTAAAAACATGGTTAAATGGTTCAACAGAGAGGGGAAGAGGTGGCTTCATCGTGGTGACAGTCACTGTTTGGCTCTCGGACAATAAAAGAGGAAGGATTACTTTAATAACCGGAAAACGTGTGTGTTCAAGTGTGTTTTCTGCCCACGTTTGTAAGCCTGCCTCCAATCAGTGTTAGTTTGTGTGTGCATGTGTCTCTGGTTAAAGGAGCATGGAGTCCAGCTTGGTACAAGGATGAGTACAGCATATGAATGTGTTATATTCCTGCAGATCATTTTCTCTGCTGATCTCCTCACAAAGTGCACCAGAGAAGGGTTTTGTCTGCATTGTGGGGCAGAATTGAGCCGTCAGTTCACCAGGAAGCAAAGAGAGAAGTGTTTAACCAGTTAGAGTATAGTAATAAACTCAAACCTGCTTTATAAAAGCTGAGAAAACAAACATTCTGAGCAACGCGAGGGCCTAAAGTGACACAGAGCTGCTCGCTGGGTGGTGTCACTGCTGGCGAGATTACTAAAAACGGCAAAGGAGGAAAGCTGCAACAACAGGACGATCATTTCGATGTGAGTGGTTTCACGTGTGCTTCATAAACAACAAAGTTTTCCCTCCAGCGTGTTTTCCTGCAAACGGAATCCATTTGTTCCCCCGTCTTTACGCAGCACACGGGCTCTGACCAACTGAAAGCAGGCGCGTACGCAGCCCACCAATGTGGCTCTGCAGCTTTTGATGTCAGATCAGGAACTTATTTTCAAAACAGACACTTGAAGATTCTGAAAAATAATCTCAAGGAAGCTGTGGGAGGAAAAATGGGGAAGGAGGCCCAGCAGACCTGTCCGAAAAACAAAAGCCGTTCACTCCAAAGAGTTGGGCTTTTTAGGAAATGTCACTTGAACGAATTAAAGATTTTAAAGAAATTATTTGTTTTGTTGAAATAATATCCTTTTGAAAGAGATGAAAAGGAGCAAATTTTTTGCATAACTTTCAAAAACCTACTAGAGCAAAGAACAGAGTCTGAGCAGTAAGACCTAATGAAGAAAATCCCCTGCCTTAAACAGACCTGGTTACATAAAATAAAGCCTCTAAATTTTTTTTTTAAATCTGATTATTGGTTGTAGCTACAGGATAAATAGAAAACTGGAGTAGTTGTCAAGCGTTCTGACACGTTTACAAGCTGAAACTATTTAGCCAAAAGTTGTTTAAAACTCGTAAACTTTAAAAAATCTAAATATTTTAGTGTTTCAGGCTGAAACGTCACCCCATGTATAACACCTGTTATCTCCACCTCTTTAACAAGATTTGTACATTCCAGGGATAAAACTATCGATCTAGTCTGCCCCCTGGTGGAACGTCCAAGTACTGCAAGTAGCAAGTTGCGGATTGTAGTATTTACGTTGGATTGTGGTTGTGTAGTTATCATATTACAGCTTCTGTCTAAATATTAGATATTTTATAACATTAAATCAGATTTGAAAGGGTTAAAGAGACTTTTTGAAAACATTTCAAATTTAATAGAAAATATTTTTCATTTATGAAACTGAGTGGAAATAAGTTTTTTAATCAAAATACGATTATTTGTTTAAATGTTATTCTTAAATGTTAATTGTGTTTTATTTCGTTTGCTAATCAAAAACTGACCAAATATTCCGGCTTTTCCACGTTTGCAGCTTCGTGTTGAGAGAGAATCTCTGCACACACCCAGTGATTATTTTAGGCTGTTATCATCATCATCATCCTTATTATTATTTCATGTAATAAACGATAAGCTTTAAGAAGGCCTCAGTCGGACTACTTTATATTTTATGGTGGATCATGCTCAACCTGGAGGGGGAAAACATGATTAAATGGTCGATAAAAACACCTGTCGCTCTCGGGAACAAACAAGCATGTTTTAGTTTAACTCGCCTCATAAAATAAATCTCAGTTGTTTCTTGTCTTTTAAAACGTCCAGCAGGGTCATTACAGTCTCATTATTTACCACAAATTATTGATAATTTCCCACTTTCCTGTTTCTGATGTTATTTTCTCCCTTTTTCACTTTTTAATTATGGTTAGGGAGTTGTTATGGTTACTTATATCCCATAATACTTTCAGAAATCTTCTCTAGCTTTCCAAAACTCAGATTAAAATAAAGGGTCTCCCCGTGTCGACCACCCGCGCTTTACTGAGCTGTAAATGTAATGAAAGTCACATTGCGCTGCGGCTTCAGGTCTGCACACCAACGGTGCGCCATCCGAAGCAGGCCCTTCCTGCGGGAAGTGTAAAATATGACGATCAGCCTAAAACAGGGTTTCCTGCACGTTTTCTTTATTTGAACGCAAAACTGCGTGTTTTCAGTTTAACAGAATTCATCAGGTGCGTCAATCCACCAGCAGAATAATTTTAATTGAATAACCAGCTCACTGAGACTTCTCAAGTCAATAAATTCTTGTTATTTGCGAGGCATGAGTCGTACAAAATACCTTAAATCATTTAACAATGAATAAATATACGTTTGTTTATTTTGTTTTCTCTAATATTAACAATAATATTTATGTTAGAAGTTGTAAGCGTGCATTACTATTTATGTGTATGAATGTGCAATTTGTGATAGGCTGTAAGTGGAATTATTTCAGTATAAATAACGTTGGTAAAACATTGACAGAATTTAATTTATTTATAGATTTTCCAGATTTTTCCGTTATGATTAAAGGTTTCAGAGATTATGAACGGTGCTGCTGAAAAATGAAAAAGATAAAATATTGAAATTACGTTTAAAAAGAGATTTAGAAAACAAAATCACAAATAGATGAGTTATTGGATATGTTCAAAACAAAAATTATTATTGAAATTATATTATCAACAATAATAATTATTGTTATATTTGTAATAATGACATTTTAGTAAATGAAACAATGTTTTTATGAGATGTGGAAAACCCATTTTTAGAATATAAAAATTGTATATTAATAATGATTATTAATATTATAAAAAATTATTGTTATTTATTAATATTATTATAAGTGCTATTATTATTATTAATAATATTAATATTAATAAAAATGATAATAGTAATAATTCTGTTTGTATTATTATTTGAATTATATGGAAATCTTTGTGTGTGTGTGTGTGTGTGTGTGTGTGTGTGTTTGTGTGTGTGTGTGTGTGTGTGTGTGTGTGTGTGTGTGTGTGTGTGTGTGTGTGTGTGTGTGTGTGTGTTAAACACCTGACATAACCCCTGCTGTGAATGGATTCAGATACCTTCAGTATTTCTGCCCCCATGTGGTACAGTGACACTCACTCTGACAACTATTGTGAAATTTTGGTACAACAACAACTTTTTCCTCATGAAGCTTCTGAGCACATTTCTGATAAAAATGATCTCTGAGTAAACAGCAGCATAACCGTGTCTCTTTCTTTTGCATACTAAGAGAAAAACCTGTTTTGGGTCCCTCCATCGAAGTGAAAGGAAAACATCTGCATCATCTGACGGTATTTAATAGGCCTGAATGGAGGTCTGCGAAGCTACTGAGAAACACCAAGCAGATGGTAAATGTGTCTGTTTTATTTATGCTGAACCAAGATTTAATATTTGTAACTTTTCCAGAAACTTCAGGGTTCACATGGAGCTGATCGTGTTCATAAATCTCAGTTTTATGAGCGTTTTCCTCCAGGGAGACTAAAGTGGATTTAATATCTTCATACACACACACACACACACACACACACACACACACACACACACACACACACACACACACACACACACACACACACACACACACAGCATGGTAACGCTACAGAGAGACAGCTGAGGCTACAACTGACTCAGGATCAGTTGAAGAGTTGATTAATTTCTTGAATGTATTTACAAAGAAATGAATTCCATCAGGAAAACTGAAACTAATGGAATTGTCAGTGGGTTCATGTAGGATTGTGTTTTTGACTAGAAGGGAAGAGTTCTTCATACGCAGGTGGATGTCGACAGGTGGAGTTGCTCTCGTCTAGACGTCCTTGTTCCCTTTCCGTCTTCTGTATTCTACAAAAAAAAAAAAACATCAGATCTCAGACGGGCTGAAGTATCTGGCAAACGTCCTCGTGTTTACTGGGTCAATTGGTTACGCTTAAACCCAAGTTAGCCTTTAAAAGAAAACACTGAGCAGTTTCTCCCTTGATCATTCCTCTATTTGGCATTAACTCCCGGAGACGCAGTCAGACGGGTCAGGAGTTGAGACAACTTGAGAGTCGGTGTGCTCATGTGATCTGAGCTGCGGTTTACAGCCATCACAGGTTAACTGTATTATTCCCGCTGTCTGTTTGGATTAAAGTGAACTGCCTTCCTGGAAACCTGCTGGGAGCAATTGTCTAAAACCAATAAAAGACAGTAAAAAAAAAGAAAAGCTGGAACGCAGCTTTGTGTTTATAACAAGACGTCCGTCTTTGGATCTTTGATTGGTTTTCAAATAAATGAGATCCTGCAATTAGTGGAAAGAAAGCTGCGCCCTACATCTTGGTGCAGGAACAGGTGGGAAAATAGGACTTTTTAATTAAATCTGAAAGACTGTGTTTGTTTTACGAAGCATGTGCATGCTGAAAAAGGTCACTGGTATGATGTGATATCCCAGTGGGGTGATTATTTTAATAGATGCCCTCGATCGTTCCCATTGGCTAAAAGTTTCTTTTATGGAACAGCTGAGGAAATATAAGTATTTGTGCTACTCTCTTTGTGTGACAGGAACCAGAACCAACATGGCGTAAGGTGCTGGCAACTTCATCTCTCTATCGAAATGTATCCCTACGTCAACCATAGCAGTTGTCAACATCTACCAGTTGGGTCAAAAAGGGTTGCCGCTTCAATCACAACAAACCATGCTATACCCTGGGCTTTCCAAAGGTCGTGCTGCATTTCTCCCCCAATCCGACCCCTTAAAGCTGAGTGTCAAGCAGGGAGGCATCGGGTCCCGTTTGTTTAAGTGACATGACCCAAACATGAATCTGAATCTCCCAGTTTCACTCATACAACTGGGCCACTGAGCTGGTATGTCATTGTGTGACAGGATCTTAGCCAACACACATTCCCAGTACCGGAGTCACACAGGGCCATTGGGGTCACACATCATAGATGTGCTGCTTCCATGGTCCCTTTTGGCCCGTGTACACTTCTCACCATGGCCGTGTTTCCACTAATGGAACTGAAGGATAATTTTACTGGAACTTCACGGCACGCACGTGTTTCCACTTCAACGGCCCAGCCAAAAGGACCAGTTTCTGGGCATGTCTTATATCTAAACAGGGGTAAGTCGGTGCGTCCCAGGGCAGCTGTGGCTACATTGTAGCACATCACCATCGGTGTGTGAATGTGTGTGTGAATGGATGAATGATACACTGTAGTGTAAAGCGCTTTGGAGTCCTTACTCTGAGAGGCGCTATACAAGTGCGGGTCGTCATCATAAGTACCTCGAATGACCCGGTAGAGTCGCTGAGCAGAACTTTTAGCTAACAACTAGCATTTGTAAAGTTTGAAAAGTTGCTGGTGATGGGAATAAAAGAGAAAGAAAAAGAGTGTTCACGCTGCTTTAACATTGCCATTACCAAACTCCCAACACCAATAAATGCAGCGGAAATTCCCCCAAAACGACAAAATTCACAGGGTTTTATTATAAATGACGCTTCTTCTGGTCATTTCACATCATTCAACAGCTCTCCCGGTTATTCCGACTCAATTCAATTGTGCTGAACTATAACAGAGTAAAACTTTTAAAGTCAATAATGTCTGTGGAAGCTTTTTGACTCTGATCAGTGACATCAGTCGCTGCTGAAGCATTCGGGAAATGCGGATGCCTGCAGGGACTGAGTTTGAATGGAGACGCAGCAACTCTGTATCCCATCCAAGAATTTCCCAGAATTCTTATAGTGGAAACACGGCTCATGATTTTTAATTACCACCTCCTTGAGACAGAATATTGCTCAAAACCCTCCCCGCCCTGTTAATAGGGAGGCCATGGGGCTTTTAATAAAAGCCGGAACACCTTGTAAAGACTTTACAAAGACCATCCAGGTTCTGAGACGTATCTTCATTACGTCTTCATTAATGGAGGCCTTAAATGTTGAGAAACCGTGTGACACTTGCTCTTTTAGAAATATGATTGGTTACTGATTTGCATATTCACACTGAATGTCAACATTTTTTCAACCCCCGCAGAAAGAAAATAGATGGGAAACGGAGCCGGTCTCTCATGTCACATGGAATATTAGCATTCATATCCTCGCCCGCCATGGCCTGTGACCAAAGAAAGTTGTAGTAATTTTGCATCCAGGAGAGAGCAGAGCGCGTCTCAGCGAGTAGAAGTTAACCGTTAGCATTAGCAACTCCACAACATGGCAGAACCAGTTCGGGCATGAAGAATTTGTAGATGAGACATCAACTTTAATTTTTACCCAAGAACATGTGTTTTACAGTGTTCTGACTTTGTTAAAGGCAGCAGAAGAGTTGTGCTGCTGTTAGCCAATCAGAGACTAGATATTTGCATATCGTGAAAAGTAACGAGTAAGACTCATAATCCTCTTTGTCCACCCCTTCTCCTCTGAAAAACTTCTACTTCCTAAAACGGGGCAGCAGTAGCTCAGGTGGTAGAGCGGGTTGCCTCATGATCGGAGGGTCATGGGTCCGATTCCAGCTCCCGCCAGGGGTATCCTGCTGTTGTGTCCTTGGGCAAGACATTTCACCCAACTTGCCTGTGTTAGTGGTGGTCAGAGGGGCCGACGGCGCCAAATGGCAGCCTCGCCTCTGTCAGACCTCCCCAGGGCGGCTGTGGCTACAAGCAGCCTACCATCACTAGCAGTGTGTGAATGTGAGAGTGTGTGAAAGCGTCTTTGGGTGTCTAGAAAAGTGCTATATAAGTTCAATGCATTATTGTTATTATTATTATTAAAACCGAAGCACCAGAGCTTTTTTCCCCACTGAAAATGACTCACAAGGCATTCATTAACACTCAAGACCACATATTTACTAGGGAAAAAATGGGTGAATGAGTCTTTTAACAGGAACTCATGTAAAGAATGAGGGAAATGATGCATTTTCCCTTACAAAGACACGTTTATGAATTTTTTTACCGGCTTATCCTCTGGCCTGTTTGTGAGGTGTGGGCTGCGCTGTCTTCTGCAGTGAATCCAGCATTTCCTGCACAGCAAACAGTGTCATAAGTCGGAGGGCCCGTGTTAACTCCACTCACAGTCGTACCAGGCTGCAGCTGATTTCCTTGGTACAGTTCCTGGGTAATGAAGCTGTAAGTTGGTGGAATGCAAAGCATTGCAGCAGCACTCGGGAGCATCTCTGGTGAATTAATGCTGCGAACCACTACAGGGTGTCCTCCAGAGCCTTGTTCTCTGACGGGTATCACATAAACCTCCTCTTCCTGCTGTCTGCAGCAAGAAAGGAACCTCAACTTGCAGACGCTGGTGAGCAAGAAGGTACCACCAACTGAGATCAGGATAGGGCCCAGAAGCTGAGTCCACTGGAAGCTGAGGTTAGCTTGGTAGTATTGCCAGCCCATCGAAGTGAAGGTGACACCCACCATAGCGAGGAGGACTCCGGATAGCAACAAGGCCGCTGCAGTCTTCTCGCCATCCAACAAACTCTCAGACAGCTGTGGCCGTGGAGCATCATTGTTGGTCTCTAACTCAGGTCGTTGTCCAACCATGTTGGTCCAGCGGTCTTGACGTCCTTGTTGGTGCATGAGCTCTCTGAGTGTGTAAACACTCAAGCTGGGACAACCTGTGTCCCGCATGGAACAGTGAGTTCAGCTGCATGAACACTGAGTAACTCTGAATGCTTACAGCCAAGAGAACAAGTCACAGGTTAACCTGCTTTGCATCCCGTTAGTCACGTAAACATGGGGGGGGGGGGGGGGGGGGTCAGAATGATGTGGCTTCTGACTGAAATGGTCAGATTATTAAATAGTTTATGAAGTCAATAAAATGCATCTTGGTTTGTTGTAAATAATTAACTAAGATAAGATGTGACACCACTGGGCAGTGTTAGGACCACAGGAGAAGATGGAGAAGCTGACATTAGTGCAGGAGAAAGATTAGCACTCATTCATGCTGACTTCACAAGGACAGATCACAAAGCTGTTCCTCACACATTTGTGGATTTAACAGGTAAAGTGGGGCTGCAGCCTCCTTGTGGTGAAACAATAACTTTAAACCCCCTAAAGCTGAAAACTAATAATAATAATACATTTTATTTCAACAGCGCCTTTCTAAACACTCAAGGACACTTTACAGGCAGAGATAAAATACACAACAATAAAAGATAAAACAGCATAAAACAAACAGACAGATTGGAGCAAAGAGAGTAATTATTGGTATGCTAGACGGAACAGGTGAGTTTTGAGTCTGGTTTTAAAGAGAGTGAGGGAATCAATGTTACGGAGGTCAGGAGGGAGTGAGTTCCAGAGCTGGGGAGCAGAGCGGCTGAAGGCCCTGCTCCCCAGAGTGACCAGACGGAAAGGTGGGACAGAGAGGTGGATGGAGGAGGAGGACCTGAGGGAACGGGTGGAGGTTGAAGGATGAAGGAGGTCTGAGAGGTACGGTGGAGCTAGGTTATGGATGGTTTTGAATGTATATAGCAGAATTTTGAATTGGATTCTGGAAGTGACTGGGAGCCAGTGGAACTGCTGAAGAACAGGGGTGATGTGGTGGAAGGAGGGAGTTCTGGTAATGATGCGGGCTGCCGAGTTCTGGAGAAGTTGGAGTTTCCGGAGGGTTTTGTGAGGAAGACCGAAGAGAAGAGCGTTGCAGTAGTCAATACGGGAAGTGATGAGGCTGGAATAGGAATCCCTTCACAAAACCATGATTCACGCCGCTCTGTCATCTCCAACAAAGCACGGTAGTAAAGGACGTTACAAAACTCCACGGCTGAGAGGATAGGAGCAAGCTGTTGGAAATGTTGGTCTCGTGTTTATTTGCTGATAGCGAGAGGGGAAAGAAAATCTGATCACATGTGGCCACTCCAAATGCATGTGGACGTGTGTTGTACAAACCAATACACTCAGAGGTGTCCAACCATGAGTGGATCAGCCAGAAGTCATGTTAGCACCAGATGTAAACTCCCCCTTATGTCTGTTCATGGTCTGCTTGAGGAGCTGCGGGGAGAAAGGTCAAACACTGAAAACTCTGCAGGCATGATCTGAAGGGTTACACTTCACTTCCTGCAGATATGTTGTCTGACTGCGCCGTTGTGCATAACTTATTATCAGCAACTCGTGCTGCTGAGGCTCAGCAAGTGTGCAGAGGCGAAGGGCTTAGAAACATTCCATATTACCGGGTGTTTTAGCTTCACAGCTAGAACCATTACACACAGTTCATGCTTGTAGATTCAACTGGATCTGATCCAAGATGTCTGCTAAGGTAAAAGAAATGTTCCCATGAACCGCTGGAAGCAGAAGCTTCAGGGAAGCTGTGAAATCGAGCGACGTTGCAGCACCTTAACGGACTCATTCACAGGGCAGGTGATGCGAGTCACATGACAACTTCTGTTTAGGGTAACCTAACTCTCAAATAGTTCTTTTAAACAGTCTGCAAACATTTCAGCGTGTGTGTGTGTGGCAAACACACACAAGTACAGGACGTTTCGGCTCAAGCCGTGACATGCAAACAGTGTTTTCAAAGGGATTCATGAAAGAGCATCGTTGTTATGCTCCATGTAACACAGCCGCTAATCAGAGAGTGGGAGCAAAGCAAAACAATGGAGGGAAAGATACGTACTGATCAAGACTAACCTGTGTGTGTGTGTGTGTGTGTGTGTGTTTACCATATCCTCAGCTTATTTCATTTGACACTAATGAAGAAGAGGACAGACACAAAGAATCCATATGAAGGCCGTGTTTAAAGAACTTCCCAGAATTGCAGCTGTGCAGATTCTTTCAATTAGCAAACTTCAAATATTTATGGAGGGAACATTTCCTCTTTGGAAGGAAGGAACGTTCTGTGCATGTGTGCCTGTGTGTGTAAGTCTCTTGGAGAATATTGATCCCTTGAGTTTGCACTTCCTTTTGCTGCAATCGTCCTTCAAAACACACCTTATTGTATTAACCGGCCTGTTTCTTCAATTAGAAACATGTCTAATTCATTGTTTGCTTGTACAAAAGCACTTGGAATGACTGGTTTAGCTGGTATGCTAAAGAGCAGCAGAGCTCCATCACTGGAATCAAAACGAGATCATTTCTCAGTCACCCCCTCCCCCAAACACACACATCCTCACCCTGACAAATAGCCTGTGACATGCCCCCTTGAACATGGCACGGAAGGGTCCGCTCCTCCTTTCCAGGGGTTCATACAACAGCAGAGTCTGCAAATGTACTTTTTTCATACCTTTGCAGCAACACTAACAATTAAATCTCCGTGTAACAGGTTGTGGTTGCTCCTGCCAGAATGCAGAAACAGAGTTTTTCCGACCTTACGCTCAATACGACTCAGCGTCTTACCGAGCACAACAGGCAGGAAGTTGGAGGATCACACAACTGGTGAGTTTAAAATCAGCAGTGAAGAACCTTATATTTACATTTAGAGCAATCCTACGGAAAGTCCTGAAAACCAATAAAAGTCGTGATAAAAATCACGAGGCGCTTCACAAAAACAACGAGGTTTAGAAAATAATAAATACAAACGAAATATAAAAATCAGTTTGAAAGGTTACAATAAAAATGGGAGAAAAAAAAGCAAGAATTAAAATAAAAAATGTGAATGTGAAAAAGAAAAAGGTTTCAGATTCCTGAAAAAGACAGAAAAGGCAGAAACAGCAGCATGAAAACAAGCTGTAGAAGAAGAAGAGGATTAACGGGGATCACACAAAGCCAGCCTGATGGGATGAGTTTTCAGGAACAAAAACCATTTTGTGTAAAAATATCACTTTAAAAAAGTTACACTATTCAAACTATTGGTGGTTCTAGGAGCGGGTTGTTAAAACTTGATTGGCCCCCTTGAAGCACCCCAGTCATACCACTTATCTGTCCTTTCTGCGATGATCAAGATTATAGGTGGATGCGATTCAAATTCCAAACACTAGTGGCGCTGATGTGCCAAAGTGACATTTCCAGAGTTAAATCTGGTACAAGGATGTTGAACTAAAGCCTAGTTTATACTTCTCAATCTGCGTCGGTACGGAGACACGCAACGCCATTACGCGTCATCACAAGGGCTCTCAGACGGACGGAGCAGAGCCCACTTTTCTAAATATCTGTCGTAAACGATAGAGACCGCAAGCCTGTGTTTGATTAGGACACAGCTTCCTTTAAGTTTGTCAACAGCTCTGCCATTTCCCCTCAAAAATAAAAACAAGAACAAACTTATCTAGCGACAGACTTGGAGCAGATTGAATAACGTCTCGCAATAAGAGTCAGACGATATATACGTTAATAGACCCGGGACTGAAGGAGAACAGAGAAATGCAGGAAACCTTTTACTCGTCTTAGGTGTGTTTTTGCTGTGTCGTATTTCTAATTCCATGCTGTAGTTCTTTTTTTAAAACACAGAACAGTTTTGTTACCTGTTTTCCCGCTACGTTTTGTTTGCGGCTGCAAACTGCCTCAGGCTGACGCTGATGGTGGCGTCACTTCCTTGTCTTTTACTCGTGTCAGGACACTACAGGAAACACGATTTAGAGGTGGTGACTGCATGAAGAAGTGGAAAAGAAACTTGTCTGTGTAAAAGTCTCTGAAATACATAAACACAGTAGAGGCGTGACTGCCCTGATGGCTAGGAGACTCCAGAAAAGCACTACGCCCTCTGCTGTCCTGGTGGAGAATTGCTTCACAATACTGACACGCCTATAAATGGAAAACTTCTCTGTCAATGCGTGTGCATGTGAGCGCAAACATCAATCAATCAATCAAAGCTTTATTTATAAAGCGCCTTCCGCAACCCTGTCAGGAAGCCCAAGGCGCTGAACATGGTACAGTACAAAGTTAAAGAAAGTGAATAAATCAGAAAATAAAAGCAATTCAAATTACAGATTACAAATTACAAAAAAAGGTGAAACATTCTAGTAGACGACAAATGTGTAAAACAAGGGAAAAAGTGAACCAATGAAAACTGAGATAAAATCAACATAAAAGAGGGCCAAATTCAAACATGTTCAGGAAACGCCAAGCGGAGGAGGTGGGTTTTTAGGCGACTCTTGAAGACTGGCAGAGATGGGGACAGCCTAACTGAGGGTGGCAACTTGTTCCATAGTGACGGTGCTAGGACTGAGAAAGCCCGGTCCCCCTCTCTAAATATTGTGGCCCCTTAATGGCCCCAAACTCAGAAAAACCCTAGATCCGCCCCTGGTTCAAACAAAAGGACTATCCCGTTAACATGTGAGAATACGAAATGATCACACTTAAACTACAAAACTTTCAAATCTGAATCACATTTTTTCACATTTAAAATTTTAAATACTCTAAAATATTTAGAGAGTGTTTTGCTTGTGTATTACAATAAAGTGAAAATATATTATATAGGGCTGGGACTTGATTAAAATTTTTTAATCTAATTAATTACAGGCTTTGTAATTAATTAATCTAAATTAATCATATTTTAATCGTTCAGGAGAATGTGCTCTCAAAGTAAAACTTTTAATTAAAATTATGAGACAGAGAATCAAACATTAGACATGGTTATTACTGTAAACTAAAGCTTTTAATAAAAAATGCATTTTAATTATTCAAATGTCACTTTGTGATATGAAACAAGACCCAAATCAACTAAAATTTATAATTACAAATAGAAAACACCTGCAAAGGGTTCCTGAGCCTTTAAATAGTCTCTCTGTCTAGTTGAATGACTGAAATAAATTTGACTTTGCACCAGATTCTAATTTTTCCAGTTTCACTTGTTTGTATAATTGGGAGTTTTTTATTAGCATTTCTACTCATAATGAAGTAAAAACACATATAAATAATAATCCTTCAAAATGACAGTAGAACAGGCACAAATATGGTCTAGGACTTAAATGTACTAACTTTTAACACCAGAGCAGGCGTGACATATTCTGAGAATGATCAGGAACACTAACTGGTTCCAGTTGGATGACTGGAGGTTGATGGGATGATAAAAGATCATGGCGAGGAAATATTGATCTGACGAACAGGTGAGCGGACCTTCCTTACATGGGAAGTCCTGATGTCACGTTAATAAGGGGATGCTGCAGACCCGCAGATTCACGGCTGCTGCAGCGAATCTGGTGTGATCTCCAGCCTGATCACAACTTCCTCGTTCCTCGCTGCCTCTGATGCACTTGAGCATCCGCCCCTTAGCTGATGACAGCTTCAACACA